TTCGGACAAACCAATAACGTATTAATTTCTGCAGAGAACTCACGATATTCTGATTTCAAACGCCTTTAGGCCTGGTTTTTGAAACGTAAGCAGATTATAAATACTCCTTCAAAGCCAATTTAGAATATTTTCAGCATCATGTAAGTGTGGTCATGAAAACAACCTAGTACCCTGAGAGAAAAGGCCGGCTGCTATTTAGGTAAACTCTAAAAGAATAAAAGAAGGTTACGGAATGGACGCGTGTATGGGAAAACAAAGCTTTTTCCTCAAGGTTTTTTGATGAGCCGACCTAGCCTCATTCTTAAGCCAATTGAAATGAAATATTAGATGTCATGTGAATTTGATGGCGAAATATTACTAATCTATTGTTTGCTTTTAAGCCCGTTTGGCCAAACAAACAAATTATGAACAACGGCAGTTAATAGCCGAATTTTTGTGAATGTGATGAGCTATTCAACACTTTTTTACGCTCTAAATTCCCGGCGCCTATTGCTAACTTATGATCACCTTTGCTGTTAAATAAGAAGATCACTGTTTTCTTTGTAGTTTGCCGCAATTATTCAAAATGATGGTGCGGTTTCGAGTTTTAGGTTAACACGACAAGGCAGCTGATGCATAATTATTAACTTGAGCAAAGATAGGTGACAATTCTCCTTGAAAAATGGAAGGGTCGCACTCTTCTTTGGTGGATAAGAAACGGGAAAAAATATCACTCTCTGAAATAGTAGTTTTTGAACAAGAGGAAATGTCAACGTACTGAAAACTTTATCAAGGACAATGCTCGGTGGTGTAGATAACTCAGCGAGAAGGAAACTTTTCAAGGAGGAAGTCGTTAAGCGGCTTAAGATTAATTCTTTTCTGGCAAGTTTTTTAATTGTTAATGTAGGTAACGAGGGTCTAGAGTTAACATGTCTATTTATCCGTCTAAGGATGAGGTAACGTCAATGAAGCCGGTGTTTTGCACGTGTTATACATCTCTGGGCAAACACGCACACTTGTTTGCTAAGCGTAATTACCTTTACAAAAATGTAAAAGTTCTAGGTAAATGGAGACCCTACGTCGTCCTACTGCAAGACAACCTTTGTCTTCGAGAATAACTACGAGTTCTGAAAAAGTATCTGGATAGGATCCATAAAAATTAAAATAAGAAAAAAACCACTCCAATACTGGAAAATTCGTAAAGAAAAATCATCCTTTAACAACTTGAAGACTTAGGGTAATTTTCTGATGTTTTGTTATCTAAACAAAAAAGCCAAATAATGAGGTCAAATTTAAGGCAGTGGCTTGTAGACAGTCGAGATGTCATGTTTTTCATTGTAATCATCTTGAAAGAAAAGACGAAATAAGTTTTCGGCCATTTCGGAGTCTTTTCTTTCGGCAGAAACGGATCTTACCAAATAATAATGGACTATTTCAAGAACTGTACCATTTACATATTACTTCAGTACTGATTCCAAGCTTTAACAGCATTTTAAGGCAATTGTTCTGTCGTTAATGGACACCATAGCTTATGCAGACAAATTTCGAATTTTCCGCATGCAAATAAAACTTTCTTCTCTATGAAGTGTTGCAAACGATCCATCCACGAGGCACTTAATAAGGGAAACATTTCAAAGAACTCTTCCGTTAACACTGAAAAAAGCTCATCGGAAATTAATACGTGAAGAAATTTCGTGCTTTACTCTTTAGGCCATGTAAAACACTGTGTGTTTTGTGAATAGAAAAGCATCTAAGGGCGTTAAATACAGAGTCCTTGCAACTAACAATACGTTGTATGCTGATCGCTTAGCGTTTCCGTGTGGCCGAATGTGCTTGCATGGTGATGCAGGTAGTCTTTACGGCCTGACTAAACACTCTGCGTAAAACCTTTCAAAGGTCGTTTCGTCACGCATGAAAGTCTTACATCTAACTTCGAGGGAGAACATTGCAAACATGCATTTCACTTTTCAACCACTAACATTGACTGTAAATTAACAATAATTTTATCTTAAGCGAGAACTCATGTCCTTAAAACAATCATTCTAATATTTTTGTAATTTTTGGGATTAAAATAAAATTGAAAAGGCCACTAGTTGCATTTTTAATATTGTACAAATATGAACAAACATCATTTTAGACTTATATCTAGCCGCTTCAGTGACTGAATAAGGCTTTGCTTCTCGATCTCTAGATTTAGAGGTGCATGGAATCGCTATTGTCCGAGAAATGCGTTCTGTGTGAACAGGTTCGAAATGCAATGAAATTGTGTCATTTAAGCAAATTTTCATGATAGATACAAAGCGTATATGGATTAATCTATCGAAAACAACATTGAGAGAAACTCTCTCTGTTAGAGTTTGACTTAATCTGAAAGAGAATATTTGCCGTAAGAGTTTTACCCTAAAACCTATCTTTTGGTCAGCGGTCGCTCAGAAGACGTAGCAAGATGGCGGACAGTGGCAACAAACGTGAATGGAAGGGGAGGCGTCAATTGCTTTCTCAAGCAATAAGAACTCATAAATATAGCTTTACACCTCTAAATTACAGCTCATCCCTTCACTGTAACAACATAGAAGGTATGAAATAAGAGATTTTGTTTTATTTTTATTCTTAAAAACAAAGTTGCGAAACGCAAGAGGGAAATGAGAAAAGTTATAAGGCTAAGAAGTGGAGGGCTTACTTGTTAGAATTTTATTCGAGATAATCCCGAAATGCAAATTCATATCAAGTTATTTGCTTGAATTTTAATATACTATGAATTAGAAGCGTTTCACCCATTTTCAACCTGATGTATGTTGTGCTGCCAACAAAATAGAAAAACAGAGAGAGAACCGATGCGATATGTGTGATTCAGTATACATGGAACAGCTAAATCTAACTTTTTTTCTAAGCAGGGTCAAAGAATACCCCAATTAGTCAACTGTAAGACCCATTTAAAGACCTGATGACAATATTTTCTCCTTCATGCTCATTCGTACAACTTACTACTCAAAGTACCTCTAGGCTGCACCCCTTAAATCTAAGTCCCCTTTATTCGTTCCTAAACCCACCCGACAGAGATCAATACTTGTTTTCTTCTATCAGTTAAAACGTATTATCAAGCAGATGGTAACGAGAAATAGAAATGACAGGCAAAACAGGAGAAAATTTATTTCCTGACAGTCGGAAGAATCCTTCTTTAAGGATTAGGTATTTAGGGGCTCGTTTCTCGAAAGTCTTGTTAACTTAACGGTCCCGAAACCAATCTTTAAAACCAAAATTTAACTGATAGAGAAGCAGTTTCTGGCACCCGGCCTGACTAGTCCGTTTTGTTTCTTAAACTGATAGTTTTTTTTTTGTATCGTTCTCAAAACCTTTGAAAGCACAATCTGTAATGAAAATTAGAACCGCTTTACGGGCCCGTCAAGTTACAGGGACTTTCAGGGTTAAGTTACAGGGACTTTTTGATCCAAGCGTCAAAGTTCTAATGAACTGCGGAGCAAGAACCACAACAAAAGTTTGGCACACTCAAATGATGCTATTTTAATGAACAGTCTCCTTTATTATTTTGGTACATTTTTGATTTGTGGGTTTTACAACCAATTTCTATCAGAAGAACAATGTAAACGGTTGTTTGGGTTGCGTAATTTTTTTATGTATGCAAATATTCGTAACGAAAATGTAGCAATGGCCATAAAAGTCTTGTAAAAATGCGATTGTGACAAGAAACTTAAATCATTCGAGGCTATAAACTGAAAAGATTCGCATGCAGTGCTTCAAACGAAAAATCGCGAAGCACTTAACATACGATTATTTTGTATCACGTTCGCTTACATTTGGAATAGGCTTGTAAGTTTAGTATAAGTGAAAATATGTTGCTTGTCTATAAAACCAAAGTCTATACAAGTATTGTCCCTAAAGCAGTAATATAACAGTATAAATAGGTAAAATTCACTTTTTTTGCATTGGATACACTTATAAATGATAAAAGCACTGAATATTTAAATCAAAGCTAAAAACAATTTTACTGAACTGCACTGCTTTAGGACTACTGAGAGAAATAAACTTCCAAACGTAATATATAGAAGAGTTTTACAAAAATCTTACGATTTTAGCCGGTGGTACAAAAGCGGCTAAGAGAGAAATAAAACTGACTTCAAGTCGGTTTTACTGAGAATTGTGTATCTATTTACACCTATACAATCATCATGGATTTACGTTCAGACATATATTATACAATTTTAGCTAAATTTATCTAAATTGTTGTATTAATAAATAATAATAATTTGGAAGAAAAAATCTCTAATTCTCCTTAACATTGTCAAATTACTAACACTGATATAGATATTTTTACTTTTGGACTGTTTAAAAGATATGCAGCTCAGAATACAATGAATTTAGGCTTGATAGATTGTAAGCTGTCCTTCACTGGGGACATCGTAGCATCCTAATGAGAAAAATTATTTACATTCCTTCTTGATTTGCTTCTATGATATAAATTTTCCCTACAAATAAGCTTCTTAGTCAAGGATAAAATTCTGATAATGTTGTTCGAAGTGTCCCTGCTTACGTATCTGGGTCTTTTATTGTCCCCATATGGTGCAATACTAACATGAAGGAATGCTTGCTCGTTTCTCTTTCTAATGTTTCTTTGATGGTCAATTTTACGTTTCTCTTGTTCTAAATGGTATAGTATCTCTGAGAAGCCAAGGCTACTGAAGTAAAAAGAAACTTCGATGCACTTTATCAGAATTGAAGAAAGCCAATTATAATCAAGGGAACAACTGACATTGCTCTAGAACGAAGATACTGGGTTCAGTCTCAAACGAAGGAAACTTTTTTTCTTATGGCGCGGCTGCATCAAGAAATAACTGCTCGTTTTTACAGTTTCAGCGATGTTATGTTCGCCTCTTTGCAACTGGCTATATCATAATTTTTTTTGATATTGATCAAAATAGAAAACCCTAGCTTAGTGTCATATGAAATGGGAAAGGGTGCATTTACAGAGTTTCAACGACATGTGGAAGGTAGTGTTGAAAAATAAAAAAGAAAAACGTTTTAATTTTCTAGTTCGTGGATGTACATATGTCTTCTCAAATCAACTTTTCGCATGAAGGACACTCCGCAGTCATCGCAGGAAAATGGTTGAAAGCCTTTGTGTTTCCGACAATGTGTGATCAGATTTGACGACTGACTGAACGACTTCCCGCAAAAATTGCATTGGTGAGGCTTCTCTCCTGTATGGATGTACGTATGCTTCTTCATATCAGACTTCTGATGGAATTTCTTGCCGCAAAAGTGACACTCAAACGGACGCGTGTCCGAATGAATCAACATGTGTGTTGATAACGTCGAGGAGCGTTTGAAGCTTTTCCCGCAAACCCTACATTGGAATGGCTTCTTGTTCGAATGCACTATCATATGCTGCTTCAAGCTGATGGAGTTGTTGAATACTTTATCACACACTTGACAGTTGTACAACTGTCTTGTTACTGACCCAGGCATCTTTACTTTGCCTTCTTTTGCAATATCTTTCGATTCAGCCCCGCTTGCGTTTAATAAGTGGCCATTTTCTTTCTGAAGTTCTTCGTCTTTTTGATCGTTCAATTTGTACTTTGGTCCTCCCTGGGACATAGGTGCATGATAGAATCGATACAAGCCAGCGGATGGATCGCTTTGAAGCCTTCTCATCTCCGTCCATTGCTGCATCCACCGTGCAAATGGGTCGAGTCCTTTGTAAGGCTGCTGCCTGCAGTTCCACAGAGGGAACTGTGGGAATTTCAAATGTGGGCCTTCATGTCCTTTAGCGGTGGAAGGGGGAAATGTTTGCAGAAATCTTAGACCAGATCCAATAGGTATAGCTTAAATTGAAAAATAACATTGGGAAAGTCAGATAATCAGATTAATAATTACTCTTGAAGGTGATGGAGGTCTGCATCGGTTTATAGACTTACACTCAACCCTGTATTAAGCGGTCAGCCATGGGGAATGGCGTGGTGACCGCTTACAACTATTTTCACAGAATAGGGTTGTTATAAAGAAAAAATAAAAAAGTCTTATTATGCCATATTTGACTACTTAATGTACAAAAATCCAAATTACTACTGACGTTGATTTCGGGAGATAAATGTGAATTAAATTCGAACGATTATTGTTAGTTCTATTTGAGTGAGTGATCGTTCAAGAAAGATTTAGGACAATTCAAACAGGCCTTTTGAACTCAGTAAAGGGTGACCTCGAGCGCTTGACAGAGGTGACCGCCATAAAAACATGAAAATACAGTAATAAAGGGGTAAACATTTTGGGATTTTGAAAACCGCCCGCTTAACACAGGGTGAGTGCTTATTACGGTGTCGCTTAATACAGGTTCGACTATAATGAGACCTAGTAAGGAAATGGTCTAAGGGATGAGATGGCAAAAATGGCTACAAATTCTCTCATCAATAACATGTTGCAACTCTTATTTCACCTGAGGAATAAGTTGGGTATCTGCCTTGTGATTGGCTTCCATGGCTACTGTTCCCATCATCTGTGTCCTCCTCTGAACTGGACTCATCATCTGGGTTTCCCTTGTAATTTCCATTCTCATCAGTGTCACTTTCATCTAAAATAAGAAATATATACATAAAAAAAACGAATTACATAGCTCTCCAAAGAAGTGATCTCTATACAGACTTGTGAGCTTAATCACGACTTGAATTGCTATCGTTTTGGAGTTTCCACAGGCAAACCGAAAATCTACGGTTGTAAATACCTTCCCGCCTTTGTCGCGGTTTATAAACCTTCATAGGCCCAAAGTTATGAAATCTATGTTGCTTCAAGATTAGGAATAAAAAAATTGATTTTAAACTGACTAAGCAGTGATTACCACCAGCACTGATACACCGATATAGTTGCTATCACCAACAACCTGAGTCTAACATAACACTTGTTTACTGGACCCGCTTGAGGGAAAATTTGCTATTTTCCTGAAATTGCTCGGAGAAATTCCAAGAATTTTGAATAAAAGAGTCGAGAACATGATTTCATCTTCCGGCCATTGTCTCTCACGAATTCAAGAGCAATCGCTTTTCATCGATCATCACAGAAAGGCATCGCCAGATAAACAAACAAAAAAGATATGGTTGTCTTAGCTCTGGTTTTAAGGGAATAATACTGAAAATGAAATGCTACCCCTCTCCCTTTTCAAAAACTCACCAGTTCTTATAACACTCAAGTCGCGCCCCTTTAACAGGTATCAATTAACCTCAGGTTTTGAGCTGTCATTAACTTGTGTCATGATTGCCTTTTGATAAAAACTTGGTTAAACTCTCCGAGCGGGGCTGCTTCCATGTGAATTTTACGCGATCTAGAAGCTAAGGTTTAGGGTGATTAGAAGCGAGCAAAAATTAGGAAACGGCTATGTGAATCAATGCCTTTCAGTCAAAGACCTCAGAGGGAAATGGCCTTTTTATATCAGTCATGATGTCATTTAAAGAAACTTCTTGGAAAGGTACGAATTATTTTTTTTTAGCTTGTTTTGTTAAATAAGATTCAATTTTATCTGAATGTTATCCCAGAACCCAAAACTCAGTTAGGAAAAAATTTACAAAAACAGTACTAAACCAAAAGAAAGAAAACCACAAAGTTTTTGTCACACTGAAAATGAAACAATTGAACCTTTAGGTTCCAAGAGATTACTTCCGGAACGAATCAGCGGAAAACACGATGTGGCATAATAGGACATATGCTGTGATATTTTTCTGTGATTAGAGAAAAATGTAACAAAAGTAAACGAATAGAAACGCGCAAGCCGCCGAGACGGAAAATACCTTCCATTTTAGATTCGCGTGAAGATGAAAACAATAGGCCCTATTTGGCGCGAATTATGCACGGATATTTGTCCACGGATCGACTTTATCTGTTCCAGGATACAAAACGTTTTCCGAGGGTGAAGCTCACCGATTTAGTTGCAGTAGAGTCCATTGTGTTTATCACCATTCAAATATTTTGCAACGCGAACAGCTTACTGATGCGTGGAATGTTTTCTGTTCAGTGTTCTCTGGTACGACTTTGAGAACAAAGAAACACAGCCAAACCTGTATTCGGGGAATTTCGGCGTGATCGCTTAATACAGGTTGACCACTAAAATAGATTCCACAGATTAAGGGTATTATAAAAAAATAATAATAAAAAAAAGCCATAAAAAACGCCATTGTGTTGCATAATTGACCATTTTATGTTCAAAATCTTGTTCGGAAATATCACTTTTGGGAGTGAATCATGGACTAAGAGTTACTCGAAGTAGCATCCTTAGTTTTATACGAGTGGTGTCGCTTTCGGTGACAGTTCAATACAGGTGGAGAGCAATAAAAACAGGCCTTTAGAAGTTAGTAAAGGGTGATCAGGAACGTTTGATAAAGATGACCGTTTCGTAAAGGTGAAAATTACAGTGATTAAGAGAAAACAAATTCGGGACTTTGAAAACTGACCGCTTATTACGATACCGTTTCATACAGGTTTGATTGTATGTGCCTTCTTCTGTAACAACCATAGAACACTCTCTTATCTTGAAGAAAATTTTAAACGAAGACTTATAGTGATTGACGTACGGTTTGAAAATTGGAAAAAAAAGGAAATAGTATTTCTTTGATTAAGAAGACATAAAAACTAAACTTTACAAATATTAATACTGACTGCATGAAATGAAATAAAAAAATTATCCAATTCAATGAGCCATTGGGTTTAACTCTTACACGAATTAATGACATTTTACCGATTTGTCAATGCCTCTGAATTTTCCTCCTTTTTAGAGAGGTTAACGGAGCTTCTGTTAGCTGGAAATAACCTTGTTATACATGTATTGTAGCCCTACAATGAAATCGTGTTGAAGGACAGCATCCGTTTTTTGAAGATTTCTAAAAGGTCAAATTTTTAAAAAGTGCGTTGAAGTCTTTCGAGTGTTATTTCGATAGAAAACACCGCATAGATTCTTTGCGTGAATTCAAAGCTGTAAAATCTAAACATCGACTGCTCTGAACACTTGTAGAATCTGGATAGCACCTTTCGCGAAATTAATGAGAATGTTCCCGCGGAAAAGTTTTACATATGTCTTCGATTTTCTCTTTTATCGATAAAGCTAACATTCTACACTAGTAATGCTCCCTGGGAAAAGTTCCCGGGGGAAAGTTCCCTACCATCTTTGTACTCCCTGTGGCTTGCACCTTCATTTTCCGCCTTCGATGAAACTTTGGGTTTTATGAGGAATGATTTTGGCATGGCCAACGAATCTGCAGCGACCGAGACACGAAATGAGAGTGCCGTTTTGTGCAGGGCTTCATATCAATTGGGCTGTTACGACAGGGTGTGGTCCAACGTGGACACCAGCGACAATTGAGGAGATTTTACACACATACGGCTTCACATAATTGGGCAGAACTAGCGCTGACGACAACATTCAATAAAATGCTCATAGACTCACTAGGAGAAGGTGTTTATTGAAAAGATTCTAATTAAAGTTTTATCTCACGCCATAATGAACAGGATAAAACAAAATAATGCTATAGGAAAAATGAAATACGATATTCCGTGAAGGAAATTTAAGAATGCTTATTCTTAAGAGGTCGTTCCGCATATTTTATAAACATTTTGTTTAGAAAATTAATTTTTTCATATCAACCCTCCGATCCAAGAGAGTTCTAGGTTGAAACCAACTTTACACTGAGTTTTTGAGATCAGATGTACTTATGGGAGAAGCTTTCTGAAACTATTCTTTCTTTGCTGTTTAAAGGCTATTTTACCGATGAAGTGTTGCATTAGGGCGTTATCCACTCGATAGCGAGAGCAGTTCTCACCATTGACACTTATGGTTCCGATTTCTTTCCCTTTAAAACTCTACTGGAACATAATGTCAACAAAACTTGCGACGTTGTTTTCGGAAATATAAGCAAGATTTATTTGCTATGGACCGTGAATTTCAACCAAACCATTATAAACAAAGTACATATAGATTGCAGGGGTTTAAATATTTTATTTACTCAACTAAGGCCGGACAAAACACGCATGAAAACACGCATGAATAATTGCTGAGATTGAATATGCACATCGGAGAGGGAAACAGCGCGCAGAGCAGAAATTTGCTTTCCCTTCAAATACAAGGATTAATTTCGGAAAATGGTTAAATCTAAATATATTCAGTAAAATCTCTCTCTGTGGCTCTGGATTATCATTAAAACACTGGCTTTGTTAACAATTCACCTCTCTCAACATGACATACATAGATTATCACTGAAATTCTGAAGTTTAACTTTTGTATTTTGAATCTTCTTATCGAAAACCTGGTATCTGAATTACGAAAAAGGTCGTGTCGATATCACCTTAAATACCGAAATCCTCTCCAAAATACCCTTATCTGGATTTTTCATGATTAGCTGGAAAGATTTCAAATTGTGTTTTTGCTAACGTCAGAACAGGTGCTAAATAGAATCGTATTTCCTAAGACATGTTTGTTGATGGATTAACACATGTCGAGAATCATGAAAATTTCAAGAAGAAAATCACTGAAATAAAGATTTCGACGAAATAATTCTTACGTTTTAAACCAAAATTTTGTTTTACTCAAACGGACAAGAGAGTCTTCGTTAAACAGAATGATCATAGTCGCTTTTTAAATGAAGGATTTATGATTTAAGGCACGTTCTCGAAGAAAATGCACAATTTCCAAGATCAAATTTGCAGGATTTATCCACACAAGAGAACTCTTTTGTTACTTGAAGTGTGCTTGAGGGAAATGTGACGAGCATCGAAGGTTCTCGAACGAAAGTCTGCTATCAACTTCTCGAGCGATAGGCCTTTGTAAATGTCAAAAACGTCATTAATTTTGTATCAAACGGTTTTTGCCTTAAGGCTTCAGAAAGTGACATGCTCCTAGAGAACTTTATATCTAAGTACCTGGGTATAGAAAACTTATCGATACAATAATACTGCAGGGATTATATGCATTGTTGGTGAAAATCTTGACTTGAAAGTTTGGAAATCCAAAATGAAATCTGGGCAAAAACTGATTAATAGCAATGTCATGCTGTAAAATGGCTCGCAGCCAATAAAACCCTTTTAGGAAAATCCTTTGACAATATGCCGCCAGCATTAACGGGGCAAATTATATTTGATAATGAACACAACAACGTTATTGATAAAAGGTAAATCCAATACTCAAATAATTTGCATTCTTAGTTTTAATGATTTTTCTTTTGGTCAACATTAAACAAGGCTAAAAAAGGTTCGAAACACCCACTCCGTGGTAAAGAAAAACTTGAGAAATTATTAGTCAATGATCATTGGAAACCGCGACCTAAACAGTATGTCAGTGCACAAATGTGGAAGGAAGTAAGTCTGAAAATGAAATGGGTGATAAAATTCGCCTAAAATCAAATTAAAATTGAAGCATTCAGAAAACAGAGAGAGATTGAAATATATACGGTTGATGTTTCAGCACAAAGTTAGTCAATTGGAATCTGTTTGCTTTTAGAGTGGACGGGACTCAGTAGAAAATGAATCTAACAAAATTTCAATTTAATTTATGAATGAGGCTCAGCTTGAGGAGTGTAGAATTTCAAATCCTATCCCCAACTTAAACCTTAAAAGGTAGTTAATTTAGCCAGCCCAGCACAGATTATTGCATGAAATTCACTCCTCATATTTATCCTGCCTTGTGTTTTAAACATAACAAGTAAAAATTTATCAAGGCTTGAAAAAAATAAAGAAAGTCTGTTTAAACCCTTCGCAAGATGTTCTGTTCACGTTCCTTCAAGTAGCTTCACGACAAAAAATTTATCAAGACATAGTCCAACTAAATTGTTAGTGACACAACAGTTAAAGTAATGGTATGCACGATTTCAAGGACGTTGTTAGTTATTTGCTAAGAGACTTAAGTTTATTTCGCTCTTTAAAAGACCAACAACATTATACATTTTATGTTACGGAAGTGCGAGAAAACAATTTTTATCTCCCAGGAGTAAGCAAATTCTTTTTCGTGTGTGTTATTAATTTAATTGTAAATGTGTTATTCCAAAAAGAGTACTCGTGCAAGTTGTACATAATCAAAATCACATCCAGTTAAAATATAGCAACAAGCTAAGGCGTGCATACGCGATGAACATGAAGATATTCTTATCTGGACCAACTGCAAAATTATAAAATTGCAACTGTCAGGCTCTGCTTAGTTTACACTGCATTGCGCCAAAATATAACTCAGGGCGTTCCAAAGCAAAATGGTAACTTTTTATACAAATACTTCTAAGTTTAACAAAGATTCGTTTGCAAATTCAATCCTGCTGCTGCAACTGACTTGTTAATACTAAATTTTGATTATGACTGAAGCTTTTCAATATTAGGTTCTCTGTCAAAAAACTGTAACTGGTTAAGGGCCACTCTAAATGACTTAATACAACAACTTAACTCATCAAAACTGGCCGTGAGTAGACACTTTTTTTGTCTTCCTCTCTGCTATAGCATATTGCCTGAAACCGCGGGTAGAATTGCAACATGGCGCGTTTCTTTTCAATCCACATGCATTATCGTCTAAATGCTCTTTCAAAATTCTTGGACAAGAAATGATTTTAAGAAGTCTTTTCGTTACGGATGACCGAAAAAAGGATATACCGTGTCTTAGCCGTTAAAATCATCTGTAGTTTTAAGAGTTTAGCAAACACTCGTCTTTAACACGCAAGGTGATTTTCAGAGGAACTCATACTGTTAGCTGTCAAGGATACGAATCTACTACTGATTAACAGAGATATAAAATACTGTTTCATTGAATTTACAACTATGATTTAAGAATAGAATAAATAAGCATTTTTTTTTAATTTTTCGAGGAGGAAACTTAAACAGATGTTTATTAGGTGTGGCTACAGGGGTAGAAAATTGCAAAAGTTGCGCAATCACTTAAAAAAAAGATTTTTAACCAGACAGCAGGTTCTCTATTCAGCTAGCTTTATAGAGTTGTCTTTCTAGCCACCCAAAACCTCAAACAGAACGTTCACAGGCATATTCTAAATTTTAGCCAAGCATAATAATAGTTTTTAAGAGAACTCTTAACAATATTTCAACTTGAAATTGCTTCAAATTACCAATTTTGGGAAAAAACACCAATTTTGCTTGAATCGTAATTTAATATATTTGAATCTCAATCAACTAGGCTTTTCTGTATTTAATTAACTTTGAAAGCGAACCAAAATGACGACGCTGGAATTCTATTAAGACATGAAGATTTAAAACATTTTATTAAGCGTGCGAAATCAGATTTAATTCAATGGCATAACGTTGAAAATTGATGATGTTTTAACGGAATCAGAGCACCAATAAAAAAGCTTTTGAATTTAGAAGTTTCTCGCCCTAACAGGCAAAGAAGTAAAGAAAAAATGACATAAACGATTCGTTTTTGATGATGCGCGGATAAAATGCATAGAAAAAGGCATTACGACTGTGAATTCGACACATAAGTTATGGCCACCAGTTGTGAATAAACAGTAGATTTTGGCCTTGAAATCAAAAGAGGCAATTAGCTTGCCAATGATTTTACCGATATTCTCTAGTAGGTAGAGAGATTTTTCTATTTTTTGGGGTTGCTGTAAAACTAAAACGCCTTCAAGAAATTCTCTTTTCATTTGTATTCGGAAAAGGGAACAAATCGGGAAGCAAGATTACGAATTTGTCACATATCAATTTAATTTGTCAAAATTTTCAAACTTAAATTTACGCGTTCTGATGTGAAAGAGGTTGCGCCTGACTACTTTATTTCTAGAACCAGAAGATCAGCTGAATTAAAATAATTCGAAGGATTATGAAAACAAAAATATCCATATGCCTCGAAAAGTACCTTTGAGGTCCGTGTTGCTGTTGGAGGTATTCGGTGAATAACAGTCATCTTTGGAAATTTGTTGTGGGACGATTGCCTCTTCATCTCTCTCTGTAACAGGAGAACCACATTTGATCTCATAATGTCGCGCGGAGGAATTTTGTTTTCCTAAAATGCCAGACAAAACAGGATAGGCATACTACTTTAAACACAAATTTCTAAATCATAGAATTTCGTTAAGATAAATCAAACTTTGAATAAGGGCTAACGGAGGGATTCTCGAAGCAATCTCGAATTGCTCGCATGTGTTGCCGTCAAATACATGATTCGCTCAGAAGCGAGATGGAAATTGGAATCTTTGATGCGTAACGTCTACGGGTACCGGAAAGAAGTTGACTGGAAATGTGCAACTCATAACAAAGGAAACCTGACTGAAAAATCACAACCAGGTATTTACCTTGTTTATTTCCCTTTTCAACACCCTGGTGAGAAGCCTCGCTGGAAACTGCGGTAGACTTCGTGCGCACGAGAAAAGCTCTTGGCATTTTGATTTCTTGTCGTTTAATACTCCAGAAAGACTGAGTATCGTCAAGTTGCTCTCGTTTTGAATTTGCGTGCAGAGCTCAGAGAGCGGATGTTGCGAGCTGTGAGTTATACGTGGGTTGTTTATCCAATTGGTGAATGTATGCGGTAAATATTTGATACGCGTAAAGATTGAACTCCACAGCCTCTTCTTGAAGCAGGAGGGCAGGTGTTCCGATCTTGCAAATGTTCCAAGATTAACTGCGGTTTTGTCAAACTCCACCTGCTTGTAAACTACGCATTTGGAAAACTCTAAAGGTAATTTGCCATTTACTTAAAATACGCACACACTGAATGACATCAGCTCGAAGTGCTCTTGGCGAAAGAACAGAAGTCCACGCCCAGATGTCTCTGTATGACCAACGAAATGTCCCATAGTGCCCTCATTTCGATTTAAATTTTCAAACAGTGCTTGTTTGCTTTGCTTGACTATAAATAAGCTCTTGCGCGAGCTCTATTGTTGTGCAGATCCGGGCAAAAAGTGGCGCTTGCTTCTCATAATTAATTAAACAGTGCCCGTTTAAATGAGGAGCAAAACCGCGAATCTCTGTCACAAGAGCCGGTATGCGTAATGACTTGCGCTCTCAATGTTTACTTTTAACAGAGCTAAGCTTTATCTCACGAAACTTTCAACCCTGAAGGTTATCGACATTTTCAAGTGAGACAGCAGAAGTAGTCCTCAGTGGTATTTGTTTTTTGGACAGAAACAATCCGTCTCCGCACTGTGCCCAACATATTCTAACCTTTTCATTTTGTTAATTCATGAAATATCTTTTTCTAGATTTTATTCTTTACTGTATAGATAGATACGAAAGATACATGCTATTTAAAAAAATTGGAAATTGACTCAATAATCAAAAAATTTCTTTCCTCTCTCAGCGACACCCACCTGGCGGGGAGGTTGTCATTTACTTTGTTGGTGAACTTGAACTTGATATATTGATTTCGGTATGTAAACGAATTCAAGTCACATTCCTTAAAATTTCAAGTTCCTCTCGAAA